TCTTTCCTAGGGCACACTGCCTTAGTCCTACAGTTGCTTCCCAAGTCTGTAATTACTGTATTTCTCTATGTTATCTTTAGCTTTTAATAGTTAATTCTTGGTTACCAGTTAATAACAACCAGTTAATAACCAGTTAACTTCGTAACTTTCCTGTTAAACCATGTATTGGTAGTTTCTGTCTGCTGACTGGACCCTGAGAACTACAGAACTATAACTCAAAGATAGGGATCTTTCACAAACCTAATTTTAAAAGATTTAAAAAAAAGAATGCCCCAAAGCCCAGAAACAGCTCCAAGAAGCTGTTTGAGTATATTCAGGAGGCTGGAGGTTGAATTACCTCTGGGGTTTGTATGCAATCCAGATGGGATACTTTGCAAACACAGGAAGAAGTACTGACCCAAGTGAGGAGAAAAGAGGAATAGAGGGGAGGGGACCACTGAGTTAGCCTTCCCGTAAACTGGAAAATCTACACCATCAGACAAAAAGGAAACATAAGTGTTTGAAAGGCTATTTTAAATACTGATGGCTAATGACAGCCATTTGCTATACAAGTTACACTGATTCAAGACAAAATAAAACCCTGAATAATTTCTCTTAGAAACTGAAGTAGTCAAATGGTATCATGTCTCTCAAATGGATACATGTCTCTCTGAATCCCTGATTTCATTTGTAGTGTCTTGAGAGGAAAACAAAAATAGCTACCCCTTCAATATTTAGAGTCACATAAATGTACAGTATGATCTAGAATCAATAACCCATCAGCTAAAGTGAGAATGGGGGTTTTTCAACCAAATCAACTCAATAAATAAAATCTTTACTCAGTGAATAATACTAACTTTAAAAAGGAAATGATAAAGGTAACAACAAATGATTAAAAGCTTACAGAATTTTTTGTAAAGGTTCTGACTTTGGAACAAGCAATTCTGTGTCAAAGAGCTCAAGACTAGGGAACTATTGCCCAGTTATCATTCCTACGTAAGTTAGAAGAAAAAACAATTAGACTGTATTTTAGGCATGAAAAATTTAACAAGGAAGTGAGATGTCACAACAAATATTTAAAAACCATTTAAAATGTTCTGAAATAACTATTTATTGGCAAACAGTACAGAAACTTTTTTTTTTAAACACATTACCAAATACCACAGAGCATCTATCTAAATTACCAATAACTGTTACAACCTAAAAGTTCCAAGTTCTTCTTTTTTAAAAACTTTTTATCTTTTCTTCCTCCCAAATGTTATTCCAACTCTTTTCACATCTTCTTATCTGACCTCAATAGAAATGAGCTACTTTTAGAACACTCCAAAATGTTCTTTTCACCTGAAACAACAAAATCCATATCTTCTTTCTTTCCTGGGACTTCCTTGGGAAACTATCTTTAAAAGGGATTCACTTAGGAAATTAAACAAATGTAATGGAATACATGAAATCATAAGTTATTGTGAGGGGGAAATTCATGGACCTTCTTTTTCTGTTTTCTAAAAATGCTGGTATGCTTTGTAGTTATAAGGAGCATTTACTTCAAATGTTATAATATTCTAAGAATACTGTACATGTTTCTAATTAATTCATTCAAAATTCCATACTTCGCGTAAATGATTTTCAATCTTACCACCTAACTTCTCAAAGGGACTAGTACCTCAATCTTTCTCAACCAGGAGCCAATCACTTCATTTTTAATACTTCTTTTTGTTGACTGATTATGGCAAAATATATACATAATATACAAGTTACCATTTTAAGTGTACTATTCAGTGGCACTAAGCAGATCTGCAATGTTGTGCAACCATTACCACTATTCCTTTCTAGAACTTTTTCATCATCCCAGAGAGAAACTCTGTACCAATTAAACAGTAACTCCCTATTCTCCCTACTCTCAGCCACTGGTAACCTCTATGCCACCTCCTGTCTCTATGAGTTTGCCTCTTCTAGGTATCTCATGTAAGTGGAACTGTACAATATTTGTCCTTTTCTGTCTGCTTATTTCATTCACCATGTGTTTTTTAAAATACATATGTATATATATAATTCTCTTTCACATTCTTTTTGAAAATTTTTGTTGTATTACAGTTGATTTACAATGTTGTGTTACTTTCCATAGTGAATCAATTACACATATACTCACTTAGTGTGTTTTTAAGGTTCATCTATGTAGTATAAATCAGAATTTCACTCCTTAAGGCTAAACAATATTCCACAGAATGTATACACCACATTTTATTTATCCATTCATCTGCCAACAGCTATCAGAGCAGCTTCCATTTTAATGTATTTTAAAATGAAACAATATAGTAGGAAATAACCAAAATTAAGCAAGATTCTTCAAAATGGGGGGGAAGAGAGAAAACAGAAAACGGAAAAAGTAGAAAAGCTTGTATTAAGGATTAAGGAATGAAAGTAAAACTGTAAAAAGGAGCACAGCTTCAATAAGCAAAGTATCTATTTCATCCCATAACCTACCTAAAAGGTCTAAAGATTGTAAGACTACCATGTGACACATCATGCAGCAAGAGGGTAAGCTATAACTACATGTAAATATGATCTTCCAATCACTGATGCTTCATCTACTCATTAACAGGTAGGTTTGCAATGTCTATTACGTGCCAAGCCTGGGGGGAATGGGGGAGGGGAAGGAGACTGCCAAGTGGATGGAGATAATGTCACTGCCTTCATGGAGCTAATAGCTTAATGTAAGCTATAGAGAAGATACATGATTTTAAGACCAAAACAATATGCAATTTCAAATCTTAAGTACTATGAAAAAAGAACATAGAACACTATTAAGAACCTAAAAATGGAAAATGTGGTCTATTAATAGATCAGGAAGACAGACAAAGGTCTCTGAAAAAGGCATATTCAAGTTGATACCTGAAAAAAACAAGAGTTAACTGAGTAAAGGGGTCAGCATGTGCAACGACTAGTCGGGAATGACCATCCCTACATAACTGGGAACTAACAAAAGTGACCCCCCTGCAAAAGTTACAGGAATGGACAAAACTGCACTTGAGTTGGAGAGAAGATAATGAGCAAAAGAACTGAGAAGAAAAGTTTACAGAGGAAGGAAGAAAATTAGGAATGTCTGTGAGCACTTCAAGTAAGGAAACATTTCAAGAAGGAAGTATTAATAGCAGTCACCTGTGTTAAATAATACTGAGTGGTAAGACAGGCAGAACTAAAAGTTCTCTATGGTAACAAAATGGAAGTCACTGGTGGCTTAAAAAGTACTGCTTTGTGGTCACATAACTGTATTACCACAATAGCTTAATCAAGAACAGCTATTTCTAAGTTGTCACTAAGTGAAGCCAGAAGCTATTTTTGATGACTCCACCATCTTGCTACTTTTTTTAAGTTCTTTCTTTTTATCCCCCTTCTGTTCTTATTTCGTATTCTTTCTTATACACTGTTCATGCCTACTCTCCAGAAATAATAATGACAAGTTTACAGCCACAGAGCCTTACTATGTTAGAGATGGATGATCCTGCAATTGTCATTTAGACCTAGGGCATTGTTAAAAGAGTTTGATCTCTTTATACCAGGCTTCCTGGTCTATTTCTTCAGTGTGTATCAAAAGTCTAATTTTATGCAAAGAATTGAAATCTCTTGCTTATTCCTATTCTAGAAAATTCTACAGTGTCATAAAAAAGATATTAAAATGCCTTTGCAATTCCTCAAAGTAACTAGAATCACTTATCATTTTCTCCTGTAGTCTATACAAATATCTAGGATGAGAGTATTATGCTTTAATCTTAATCTAGTAAGTCTAGCCAAACTCAAATAAAAATTATGAATGTCATTGATAAATTAAGTGATTAATCTTTTAATAATTTATAAGAAATATGTTTAAAGACTAATTCTTCATACATTTTAATGGTTTAATTTACAAATGTTCACTTTTTTTAGGAACATATTAATTATTCAGAGATAAACTTTTACTTCACATTTAATATTAACAGAGCAAAGCTAATTTGTCCCCAACCTACTGACATTTGGCCACATATCAAAGTTTTTAACTGTATTACTAAAAAAGAGCCAACTTTAAAAAATCTGGAAGTTCATGTTAAAGAAAATAAGAATTAAAAAATCTCAAATATGCAATGGCTATTCATCAAAAAATATACAATCCATCTACAAATATTTCAATATAGCTCACGATTTCTCAATAGCAACAACACTGGCATCTGAGCTGAACAACTCTTCCCTGTGAAGGGCTGTCCAGCACATTGCATGAAAGACATTTAGCACCCTTGCTCTGTTCCCGTTATCACCATAGTGTTCCCTCCTTTCTAGTCATGGTGATAATCAAAAACAGTCCCCCCAAATTCCAAACACTTTCCCTATGGGTGTTACCCAAATTTCACCCCTGACTGAGAACAACTAGCAGCACAGCAACCTCTTTCTCTTAATGAAAATGTCTCTAGTGTAGACACCCAGACGTCTGCCTTAACATACAAAGTATATTGAACATAACTTTAACATTTTTTGATGACAGAGGGTCTTGACTATGAACGGTGACTACTATGTCCTGTTGTGATATAATAAAGCTCTTAGAAATTAAAGTGTGTTTTACCTTTGGTCCTATAATAATTGACCCTGGCTGTTTTATTTGAACATAAGACTGTTACTTAGAACACATACTGCTTTATATATTTTTTCCACAATTGTTTTTGGCAAAGGTTATTTTTTCCTAGACTATATCTAGTACATCGATCATTCTCTGAACTTTTCAGAGTACTTTTTATTTGCTAATGACCAAGCTTAAAATGGCTCCAGGCCTCCTAAGAATTAAAGTGCATGGATGTGGCAAGAGCTATAAGAAATTTTTTCTAACTTACTTTTGGTTTTTTTACCTGTGCTATGACTGAAAACTCCAAAGATCTGAATTCAATAAACCATAAATTAATAAAGCAATTGTTACTAAATAATCTTTGAAGACTGCTATATACTACAATATATTCTGATCAAGTATTATAATTATTACAAATAACACTTAAATAACTCACCTGATTTCTTTTAGTCCTTCTCTCTGGATAACTTGAAGAATTTCTTTATGACTCATGGGTGTATTGGGATATTTTTCTAAGACCTGAGAAACAAGTATATAATAACAAATTATTTACTTAAATTCTTATAATTACACATGTAAGTTATATTTCTTCTTATTACAGCTATGTATTAATTTCCTCCAGCACACAGAAATCCAGAGACTTTTCATCCCTTAAATTTTGGGATAATAAATGAAAAATTAATGGACATTCTTTAAATAGGACATTCTTTTCTTCAGTCACAAGCCATACATCAAATCCCGAAGCAGAAATTAGTCAAAAAAGATTACTAATTATTATGAACGCATAATATGAAATTATGCTTACTTTCTGCCTCCAACCCCACATGACTACCTGTAGACTTACTGGAAATAGCTTAAAGAGTATCCACCTTTACATTTCCAAACAAAGTCTAGTACATTTTGGATGATCAGTAATTCCTTAACCAAAATAAATGAACAATATAAGGAAATTAAACAGTATCTGTGTTCTGGTAAAGAGGATATAAGCAAAATTTATCCTGTCTCTCCTCTTGAATACGACTAAAAACCTGGACAAAGGACTAGGAGTAGCTACTTATCTGAGGACTCTGAAAAGGGAAGCAGTTGGTTTCCAGGAGGAAACCAAAACCAGAAGTCCTACTAACCCAGCAGTGAGGTTCCTGGTTTTATTTCCCCTAGGATCACTCAGACCAGACTCCAAAGCAGTCCCAACTCAGAAATGCACAGTAAGTGCAAACAGAAATGGCTTCAAGAGAAGTCTTCCCTTTTTCTGTCTGAAAAGCAGTCAAGGGGGCCCCAAAAGCCGAGGAAGATCCTCTTGGTTTTTTCCCTTTCTCTCAGACCCCACTCCAAAGCAATTCAAAGGCAGCAGCTGTGGCAGTGATGATACCAGCAGTGGCTGAACAGGGACCTAAAACTTCAAGAAAACGGATTCCTTCCAATCCTATGACTGTGGCAGGAATTCCTAAGGTTTACACCCTTTTTCGACTGATTCCAAATAGGAAAAGGGTACGTCAAGGCTGCATATTGTCACCCTGCTTATTTAACTTATATGCAGAGTACATCATGAGAAATGCTGGGCTGGAAGAAGCACAAGCTGGAATCAAGAATGCCGGGAGAAATATCAATAACCTCAGATATGCAGATGACACCACCCTTATGGCAGAAAGCGAAGAACTAAAGAGCCTCTTGAAGAAAGTGAAAGAGAAGAGTGAAAAAGTTGGCTTAAAGCTCAACATTCAGAAAACTAAGATCATGGCATCTGGTCCCATCACCTCATGGGAAATAGATGGGGAGACAGTGGAAACAGTGTCAGACTTTATTTTGGGGGGCTCCAAAATCAATGCAGATGGTGATTGCAGCCATGAAATTAAAAGACGCTTACTCGTTGGAAGGAAAGTTATGACCAACCTAGACAGCATATTAAAAAGCAGAGACATTACTTAGCCAACAAAGGTCCGTCTGGTCAACGCTATGGTTTTTCCAGTGGTCATGTATGGATGTGAGAGTTGGACTGTGAAGAAAGCTGAGCACCGAAAAATTGATGCTTGAACTATGGTGTTGGAGAAGACTCTTGGCGGTCCCTTGGACTGCAAGGAGATCAAACCAGTCCATCCTAATGGAGATCAGTCCTGGGTGTTCATTGGAAGGACTGATGCTGAAGCTGAAACTCCAATACTTTGGCCACCTCATGCGAAGAGTTGACTCATTGGAAAAGACCCCGATGCTGGGAGGGATTGGGGGCAGGAGGAGAAGGGGATGACAGAGGATGAGATGGCTGGATGGCATCACCGACTCGATGGGCATGAGTTTGAGTAAACTCTGGGAGTTACTGATAGATAGGGAGGCCTGGCATGCTGCGACTCATGGGGTCGCAAAGACTCGGACACAACTGAGCAAGTGAACTGAACTGAACTGAACTGTTGCTTAGCATCAAAGGCAGATGCAGCTGTGGAAGTGTGTAGCAAAATGAAATGAAATGAAATCAAAACATGAGTTATTTAGCTATAAAACTAGAAAGAAAGTTCTCTAGGAGGCAGAAAATGTCAGGAAACTTGTAAAGAGAAAGGAGCTCAAAAAGTGACACCAATAAGTTCGACAAACACTCCTGGGGTCACCCAAGAACTAAGCATATATGTGGACACGACCCCAAACATACTATCAGGTTCCCAAAGTTAGCACTCAGTGGTGCATATGCAGGAAAGATAGAAACAGAAGTTTTAAAAACTAGACACCAGAATTTTAGTGCACAGAAGGTAGGCTGAAACTTAGGACCTGAACCTAAAAGGCCAAATGCCTACTTTAAAAAGCACCCCCAATCCCTCAAATAAAGTACCAACAACATTCTCCATAGGACTCAAATGAGACAGTATCAAAGTTTTACTGCAACAGAAATGTTACAAAAGGAAAAAAATGCCTAATATACAAATCCAAATCACTTGACATATGAAGAAAAATCTCAGTAACTCAACAAAGGAAAAGACAACCTACAGACAGCAAACTCGAGATGACACAAATGCTGGAATCTTCAGGTAAAGATTTTAAGGCAGCTATTATAACCATGCTGCAAGAAGTGAGAGAGAAAAAAAAAGGAAGCAAGAAGACTAATCTTAGTGGGAAAAAAATTAAACCATTAGCAAAGAAGTAAGGTTGATTCTACCATTGTGTGTGTACCTGTATGGTGTATAAAACAAAATTAAAGACTAAAAAATGCAATCGAAAGTAAAATCCAAAATTCTCTGGAGAGGCTCAACTGCAGAATGGAGGTAAGAGAGAAAGAGAGCCAGTGAACCTGAAGACTGAGCAATAGACACTATTCAATTTGACAAACAGAAAAGTTATAGGGGGAAAAAACAAAAAATGGATTAACAGAGCCAATCGGACAATATCAAAAGGTCTAACATTTATGTCACCAGAGTCCCAAAATGAGAAAATAGAGAGTAGCATGCACAAAACATAATTTAAAGGAATAGCAGCAAAAGCTTAGCAAATATGGTGAAACATACACACTTACAATTTCAGGAGAACCAATGAACTTCAAACAACATAAATTCAAGGAAATCTATACGCAGATATAACACAACCAAATTACTGAAAACCAAAGAAAATTTTAAAATCTTGAAAGTAGCCAAGGAAAAACAGTATTTCACTTAGGAGAACAACAATTCCAGTGACTCATGTGGGTTTCTCATCAGAAACCATGAAAGGCAGAAACAGAGAAGTACATTTTTGAGTGCTGAAAGATAAAGACTGTAATTTAAAAATTCCTGTCCAGAAAAAAATATCCTCTAAGAATGAAGAGGAAATTAAGACATTCTTAAAGGAAAATGAAGAATATTTTCCACTAACAGACTTCCTTTAAATTGTTTTCTTGTATGTCAATTTTGTATTCCTCTTTTTCTTTTTATCCAAATTTTAGGCAGAAACTCTCTTTACCTGAATCATTTTCCATTCTTAACCTGGAACCCTTGGCAATGGATGAAAGTGAAAGCTAAAATTGAACCAATCTATATTATACTATCAAAGGAGTTATGAATTAGCATAGTAATTCTATCACAAACAATAGATACAAGACTTTGTGACAGGTATCACTTGAAGTCAGATATCTCAGATCAGCCACTAAGGTATCAAGATGTGATATCAGAAACTATCATTTATAAAGAAGACACAAACAAGTGCTAATCATTCTCTCAGTTAAATGTCTCAGTTCAGTTCAGTTGCTTAGTCGTGTCTGACTCTTCGCGACCCCATGAATCCCAGCACACCAGGCCTCCCCGTCCATCACCAACTCTTGGAGTCTACTCAAACTCACGCCCATCGAGTCGGTGATGCCATCCAGCCATCTCATCCTCTGTCATCCCCTTCTCCTCCTGCCCCCAATCCCTCCCAGCATCAGGGTCTTTTCCAAGAAGTCAACTCTTTGCATCAGGTGGCCAAAGTATTGGAGTTTCAGCTTCAGCATCAGTCCTTCCAATGAACACCCAGGACTGATCTCCTTTAGGATGGACTGGTTCGATCTCCTTGCAGTCCAAAGGACTCTGAAGAGTCTTCTCCAACACCATAGTTCAAGCATCAATTTTTCGGCACTCAGCTTTCTTCACAGTCCAACTCTCACATCCATACATGACCACTGGTGTGTGAGATGAGTGAAATTGTGCGGTAGTTTGAGCATTCTTTGGGATTGCCTTTCTTAGGGATTGGAATGAAAACTGACCTTTTCCAGTCCTGTGGCCACTGCTGAGTTTTCCAAATTTGCTGGCATATTGATTGAGTGCAGCACTTTCACAGCATCATCTTTCAGGATTTGAAATAGCTCAACTGGAATTCCATCACCTCCACTAGCTTTATTCGTAGTGATGCTTTCTAAGGCCCACTTGACTTCCTTCACATTCCAGGATGTCTGACTCTAGGTGAGTGATCACACCACCGTGATTATCTGGGTTGTGAAGATCTTTTTTGAACAGTTCTTCTGTGTATTCTTGCCACCTATTCTTACTATCTTCTCCTTCTGTTAGGTCCATACCATTTCTGTCCTTTATTGAGCCCATCTTTGCATGAAATGTTCCCTTGGTATCTCTAATTTTCTTGAAGAGATCTCTAGTCTTTCCCATTCTGTTGTTTTCCTCTATATCTTTGCACTGATCGCTGAGGAAGGCTTTCTTATCTCTCCTTGCTGTTCTTTGGAACTCTGCATTCAAATGGGAATATCTTTCCTTTTCTCCTTTGCTTTTCGCTTCTCTTCGTTTCACAGCTATTTGTAAGGCCTCCTCAGACAACCATTTTGCCTTTTTGCATTTCTTTTCCATGGTGATGGTCTTGATCCCTGTCTCCTGTACAATGTCACGAACCTCCATCCATAGTTCATCAGGCTCTCTATGAGATCTAGTCCCTTAAATCTATTTCTCACTTTCACTGTATAATCATAAGGGATTTGATTTAGGTCATACCTGATGGTCTAGTGGTTTTCCCTACTTTCTTCAGTTTAAGTCTGAATTTAGCAATAAGGAGTTCATGATCTGAGCCACAGTCAGCTCCCAGTC